CCTGGGTAGTGAAATGTCTGCAAGAAAACCACCCAGCTCAAAGAACACCCCACTCCCTTCTAGCACTGATGAGGTTATCTAGTTGGCTAATGAAACGTCTGCAAGAAAACAAGCAAACTCAGAGAGCATCCCACTCCATTTAGCACTGATGATGTTACCTAGTTGGGTAATGAAACGTCTGCAAGAAAACAAGCAAGCTCAGAGAGCACCAAGGATCCCACAGTTCTCCTCCTCCTCCTCCTCCTCTCCTCCCCTCCAAACCCCACTCCCTTCTAGCACTGATGATGTTACCTAGTTGGGTCATGAAACGTCTGCAAGAAAACAAGCAAACTCAGAGAGCATCCCACTCCATTTAGCACCGATGATGTGACCTAGTTGGGTAATGAAACATCTGCAAGAAAACAAGCAAGCTCAGAGGGCACCAAAGACCCCACAGTCCTTCTCCTCCTCCTCCTCCTCCTCCTCTCCTCGCTCCCCCGAAAACCTTACTCCCTTCTAGCACTGATGATGTTACCCAGTATGGCAATGAAACGCCTGCAAGAAAACCAGCAAGCATTGTTGTCCTGCTCACTCGCACGCGCACACACACACACACAATGTTGGTTTGGTGGGTTTATTAATATTCCCCAGCAATTCCCTTCACCAAAAACCCAGAACTGTCCCAATGAAGTCCAGCCATATGCTAATCCACAGAGCAAATGGCCAAGGAGTCCACAAGGCACTTGAGAGTTTCCCAAAGAAGACAAATCCATCCGGCAAAATTAAATCCACCACACAAGAGGATTCACCAGGCAAGAAAAGTCCAGAATGCGACCTTTGTCTACTTCCCTTAAACCCCCCCCCCACACACACCCCTCTCGATCCCCTGCCTCTGGTCTGTCTTGCTCTGACCTCTTTCCAAGGTCTGTTTGGCTTGGCTTTGGGTGTCCCACGATTGCAGCCGCTGGGGACGTGGTCAATGACGCAGACGTGTTCCCTGAGTGTCTGGTTGCCTGTTGAGACTGAAGGCGGTGGTGTCTGAACACTGGGTCGTTCCCTTGGGCGCATTCTGGAAAAGCACTTCAGCCCTGTTGGAAGTTCTGCGTGGTTACAGGTCCACCTAGGCTGGGAGGCCAACATCTCCCTCAGCCACTTGGTTCCTTCTGAGTCAGATCTTGGAGTGGGTTGCCAGCTGGCTCAGAGTGGTGGGACTCCGATCCAGACAGCTGCTCTCGACTCTTGGAGACATCCAAATCAAGGAAAAATCTGAGGTTGGGGAAAAAACAAAACCTTCTTTGCATTATTTTCTCTCCTTCTGGGAGAAAAACAGAGTAAAAGGGACCCTGGAGGTCATCTGGTTCAACCCTCCCAGTTCAAAAAGAAGACCCTATGCTCTTCTGGACTAATGGCTGTCCAGTCTCTTCTTAAAAACCTCCAGTGATGGAGCACCCACAACTCCTGGAGGCAAACTGTTCCACTGGTTAATTGTTCTCACTGTCAGGAAGTTTCTCCTTAGTTCTAAGTTGCTTCTCTCCTTGATGAGTTTCCGTCTGTTGCTTCCTGTTCTGCCTTCAGGTGTTTTGGAGAATAGGTTGATGGCCCCCTCTTTATGACAGCCCCTCAAATATATTGGAAGATTGCTATCATGTCCCCCCTAGTCCTTCTGTTCTTTGGACTAGCATAGTTGACTGGGGAATTCTGGGAGTTGAACTCATCAAAATTCGCAGATGACAACTGGCAGGAGTAGCCAATACCCCAGAAGACAAACTCAGGATTCAAAAAGATTTTGACAAACTTGAATCATGAGCCCTATCCAACAAAATGAGTTTCAGTGTGGAGAAAAGCAAATTTTTACACTTAGGCAGGAAAAAGCAAAGGCACAAATACATTAGGTGAGATCTGGCTTAAAAACAGCAACTGTGGAGTCCTAGTGGACGATCGCTTAACTATGAGCCAGCAGTGTGCAGCAGCAACCAAAAAAACTAATACAATCCTGGGTTGTATAAACATAGAATCAAGATCACGCCAAGTATTAATACCGCTTTATAAAACCTTAGTAAGACCACACCTGGCATACTGCAGCCAATTTTGGTCACCATATCACAAAAAAGATGTTGAGAGTTTGGAAAAAATCCAGAGAAGAGCAACTAAGATGCTCAAAGGCCTGGAGGCCAAAACATACGAAGACGGCTGCGGGACTTGGGTTTGGCTAGTCTAAAGAAAAGAAGAAATAGGGGAGACATGATAGCAGGGTTCCAGTATTTGAGGGGCTGCCACAAGGCAGAGGGGGGTCAGGTTGTTCACCAGAGCACCAGAGGGAAGTACGAGAAACAAGGGTTGGAAACTGACCAAAGAGAGAAGCAACCTGGAATTAAGGAGAAACTTCCTGACAGTGAGGACAATTAACCAGTGGAACAGCTTACCCCCAGAAACCGTGGGTGCTCCATCACTGGAGATTTTTAAGAAGAGACTAGACAGTCACTTGTCTGAGATGGTATAGGGTCTCCTGTTTGAGCAGGGGGCTGGACTAGAAGACCTCCAAGGTCCCTTCCAGCTCTATTCTATTCTATTCTATTCTATTCTATTCTATTCTATTCTATTCTATTCTATTCTATTCATCTGGTAATATATAAGTCCACAGGTCTTGGAAGTAACCATGGTTGGATACTTCTGGTTTACAGCATATCTTGAACCAGAAACTGAACAAATGTCCTGAATTAATAAAATAATAGGCCAAATCCCCAAACAGCCCACTGACCAAGTTAAAATGAACAATGACCAGTAGTCCTCAATTCATGAGTGCAATTGAGAACAGAATTTCCATTGCTAAGCAAAGAGGTTGTTAAATGAGTCGCGGCCAACTTTATGACGATTTTTGCCACAGTTGTTAAGCAAATCACTACAGCTGTTACATAAATCCAGCTTCCTCCAATCATGTGATCCTGGGATAGTGCAACTGTTGTAAATACAGGTAGTCCTCAACTAACGATCATAATTCATTTCTGTTCCTAAGCGAAAGAGTTGTTAAGTGAATCTGGCTTTCCCATTAACTTTGCTTATAATGTTACAAAAGGGGATCACATGATCCCAGGACTCTGAAACGGTCATCAATGTGAATCCGTTGACAAGCCTCTGAATTTTGATCGCGTGACCCTGGCGATGCTGCAACGGTTGTAAGGGTGAAAAAAGGCCATAAGTCATTTTATTTTCAGTGCCGTTGTAACTTCCAACGGTCACTAAACAAACTGTTGTAAGTCGAGGACCACCCTGTGCACGCAGGTTGCTCACATTTTGATCACGTGACCGTGGGGATGCTGTGACCCTCATAAGTGTGAGGATCTGGTTCTAAGTCACTCTTTTCAGTGCTATTGTAACATCAAATCACTAAACCAGGGGTAGTCAACCTTGGCTCTTTTATGACTCGTGGACTTCAATTCCCAGAATTCGTGAGCCAGCTAAGCTGGCTCAGGAATTCTGGGAATTGAAGTCCACGAGTCATAAAAGAGCCAAAAGGTTGACTACCCCTGCACTAAATGAATGATTTTGTAAGTGGAGGGCTACGTGTACTGTAGTGTGTCATGAAGTTGTTGGATCTTAGATTGATTGGCGTCTGAGGGTTGTGTAAAAACACCATGAGGTTTGGAAATTTATGCGACAAGGCCCTTGGGATGAAGAGGAATCCTAAAAGGCACCAAAAACGTACAACGAAAGTGCACCTCAATGGCGAATCAGTGACGTTCTTCCTTTAGGGCGTTCTGCCACCTAGTGGTTATCTAACTATGTGCAGCCCAAAGAAATTACATTAAATTAGCATTTCTTAAAACTTTTGACTCTCAGGAACCCTTCCCACTTTTAAAAATTTGTTGTTGTTGTTAATTGCGAAGTCATGTCCGACCCATCACGACCCCATGGACAATGTTCCTCCAGGTCTTCCTGTCCTCTACCATCTTCTGGAATCCATTTAAGCTCACGCCTACTGCTTCAGCGACTCCATCCAGCCACCTCATTCTCTGTCGTCCCCTTCTTCTCTTGCCCTCCATCTTTCCCACCATTAGGCTCTTCTCCAGTGAGTCCTTCCTTCTCATGAGGTGGCCAAAGTATTTGAGTTTCAACTTCAGGATCTGGCCTTCTAAAGAGCCGTCGGGGTTGATCTCTTCTAGGACTGACCGGTTTGAACGCCTTGCAGTCCAGGGCACTCGCAGGAGTCTTCTCCAGCACCATAATTCAAAGGCCTCCATTCTTTGGCGCTCAGCCTTTCTTATGGTCCAACTTTCACAGCCATACATTGCAACTGGGAAAACCATGGCCTTGACTATACGCACTTTTGTTGGCAGGGTGACATCTCTGCTTTTTAGTATGCTGTCTAGATTTGCCATAGCTTTCCTCCCCAGGAGCGAGCGTTTTTTAATTTCTTGGCTGCAGTCCCCATCTGTGGTGATCTTGGAGCCCAGGAAAATTAAATCAAATTACGGAGGACCAAAAGGAGCTTTTGGTTGGAGTGGGTTGTACTGATCAACACCTACCCTCCTAAAAATTAAATTGATACATTTGTAGCATGTAATATCTACATGCTACAGATATCTTCCAATATTTCAGGGGTTGCCACAAAGAACAGGAGGGTCACCCTTATTCTCCAAGGCTCCTGAAGGCAGGACAAGAAGCAACGGATGGAAACTGATCAAGGAGAGAAGCAACCTAGAACTAAGGAGAAACTTCCTGACAGTGAGAACAATTAACCAGTGGAACAACCTGCCTCCAGAAGTTGTGGATGCTCCATCACTGGAGGTTTTTAAGAAGAGACTGGACAACAATTTATCTAAAATGGTATAGGGTCTCCTGCTAGAGCAGGAGGGGTTAGACTAGAAGACCTCCAAGGTCCCTTCCAACTCTGTTATTTTGTTACTCTGAAGCCATTATCAAGAGACTTGGCCCTTTGCACAGGCCCTGACCCGTGGCCTCACCAGCATTGCTGGGCAAATATTTGCGTTTGCCCAAACAAGGTTAGCCTTGCTAAAGAGCCTGCAAAACACAACACAACCAAGAGGATTTGCGGTTTGCCTTTTTCACACAAGAGGACCCTCACACTCCTTTGAACTTGGATCTATAGCAAAAAAGTCCACCCCCCAGTTTTGGATGGTGCGGAACTGGACATATTAAATGTTCACTGGAACACTGGAAGGGGAAATGGGAAAAATGAAGTTCCTTGTTGCTTGTTTTATGGTGCTGCAGCTGCTGGCTGTGTTGGAAATCCAGAGTTTTGACTTTGTTGTGGAAGAAGACGCAGAGGTAAGAGTTTTTATCCTGGGCAATCAATCTTGTATCTACAGGGGGGTTGAAGTTAACATAAAAAAGATGTTGAGATTCTAGAAAGAGTACAGAGAAGAGCAACAAAGATGATTAGGGGACTGGAGGCTAAAACATATAAGGAACGGTTGCTAGAATTGGGTATGTCTAGTTTAACGAAGAGAAGGACAAAGGGGGACATGATAACAGTATTCCAATATCTCAGGGGCTGCCATAAAGAAAAGGGAATTAAGCTATTTTTCAAAGCACCTGAAGGCAGGACAAGAAGCAACGGGTGGAAACTAATCAAGGAGAGAAGCAACCTAGAACTAAGAGAAACTTCCTGACAGTGAGAACAATTAACCAGTGGAACAGCCTGCCTCCAGAAGCAGTAAATGCTCCAACACTGGAAGTTTTTAAGAAGAGACTGGACAGCCATTTGTCCGAAATGGTGTAGGGTTTCCTGCCTGAGCAGGGGGTTGGACTAGATGACCTCCAAGGTCCTTTCCAACTTTACTACTATTACTATAATTGTCCAAATTAAAATTGAACTGTCTTCATTATTCCTCTTCCTGCATGTTCTGATAGAAAGGATTTCCATAGATCTTTCAATCCTAATATTAATAGAAATAGCCAGGTACGAGACGAGATCCATGTCTTCTAAGAAGGAAGCCCTACCATGTTGAAGGGGCTAGTATCAAGGTAGTGTGCATAACTAGGAACGCAATACAGGTAGATTTTGACTTACTACCACAACGGAGCCCAAAGTTTCTGTTGTAAGACAGTTGTTAAGTGAGTTTTGCTCGATTTTGCGACCTTTCTTCCCACAGTTGTTAAGTGAATGACTGCAGCTCTTAAGTTAGTAACATGTTATCATGTTATCCGGCTTCCCCAGTGATTTTTCTTCCTCTTCCTCTCTTGCGAAGTAGTCAACTTCACGTTGTATTTTGCCTTGTTCCAAGTCAGCCTGTATGTAGTCCTTACAACCATGACGGGCACCAGAATTTCTGTTGCTAAGCAAGGAGGTTGTAAAGTGAGTGGGGTTTGATTTTACGACCTTTTTGCCACAGTTGTTAAGCAGATCACCGCAGTTGTTAAAGTGAATCCCTTTAGGCAAATCCGGGTTATCCCATTGACTTTGCTTACCAGAAGCCAGTTGGGTGACCACATGACGGCGGGATACTGCCATTGTTGTAAATTCATTCTGGTTGCCAAACATCTGAATTTTGATCTCACAACTGTGAGGATGCTCTGATGGTTCTAAGTGTGAGGACCAGTCATAAGTCACCTTTCTGGTCTTGTTGTATCTTCCAACAGTCACTAAATAAATGGTTGTAAATTGAGGAAGATGTGTATTCAATACATAATTATTAAATCTGCCATGGCTTTATTTAACAGTTCACCACAATGCAAAAAAAATGTTGAGACTCTAGAAAGAGTGCAGAAAAGAGCAACAAAGATGATTAGGGGACTGAAGGCTAAAACATATAAGGAATGGTTGCTGGAATTGGGTATGTCTAGTTTAATAAAGAGAAGGACAAGGGGGGACATGATAGCAGTCTTCCAGTATCTCAGGGGCTGCCACAAAGAAGAGGCAGTCAAGCTATTTTCCAAGGCGCCTGAAGGCAGGACAAGAAGCAACGGATGGAAATTAACCAAGGAGAGAAGCAACCTAGAACTAAGGAGAAACTTCCTGACAGTTAGAACAATCAACCAGTGGAACAACCTGCCTCCAGAAGCGGTGAATGTTCCAACATTGGAAGCTTTTAAGAAGAAACTGGACAGCCATTTGTCCAAAATGGTATAGGGTTACCTGCCTGAGCAGGGGGTTGGACTTGATGACCTCCAAGGTCCCTTCCAGCTTTATTATTATTATTATTATTATTATTATTATTATTATTAAAATCAAGTCAATATCCCATTGGGAATATATCATGGAACATAATCTATTGTGAGTTGACAGAATACAGAATATCAAAGTTGAAAAGGACTTTGGAGGTCTTCTAGTCCAACCTCCTGCTCAAGCAGGAGACCCTTACCATTTCAGATAAGTGGTTGTCCAATCTCTTCTTAAAGACCTCCAGTGTTGGAGGACCCACAGCTTCTGAAGGCAAGCCATCCGAAGGCAAGGTACACAATTATTGTACGTTGTACTCCAAGCACTCAGCCCTTAATCATTTCTGCATTGCTCCCAATAATGATGGAACTTTTTTTTTTCCAATTTAATTTGATAATCCTGTGTGTAGCTTCTTTTTTCTGATCTTCTCAGCGGTTTTACTTCCAGAAACTGGCAGAGCTGTTTGACTTGGAGACCGGGGGCCTCATCTCAAGCCCGCGTATGCGAAGGGGCAGACCTCAGGTAGAGATGATTATTTTATCATTTTGCAAACAGAACGGCCGCCTAAATGTCAGCTTCTGCAGCATTCCCATAAAATAAAAAGTGGCAAATGGAATTAGACCAGTGCGTTGGTTGGAAGTGATCATAGGAATTTAATGATCCAAGTGGTCCTCAACTTACAATCACAATTCAGCCCAAAATTGCTGTTGTGAGACATTTGTTAAGTGAATTTTGCCTCATTTTACTCCCTTTCTTGCCACAGTTGTTAAGCGAATCACTGCAGTTGTGAAGTTAGTAACACGGTGGTTAAGTGGCTTCCCCCCTTCCATTGACTTTGCTTGTCAGAAGGTTATGACCCCAGGACACTGCAACCGTCATAAATATGAGTCAGTGGCCAGGTGGCTGAATTTTGATGATGTGACACGGGGATGTTGCTGCCACAGTTGTAAGTGTGAAAAACAGTCCTAAGTCACTTTTTTCAGTGCTGTTGTAACATCGAATGGTCACTAAATGAACTGTTGTAAGTTGAGGACTATCTGTACACTAGTGGGGTGAAATTGAGAGAGGTGTGGAGAGCAACCATATTTGTTTTTCTTTGATAGAAGGGAAGATTTTCTTGAGTCAAGCTTAACTCTAGGGAACGGTATGGATACATCCATATCATTTTCCTGGCAACAGTCAAAAGGTCTGGAGTTCTTGATGCTCTCTGAGCTTGATGGATGCCTTGCAGATGTTTCACAACCCAACTAGATAACATCATCAGTGCAAATGGGTGTGAGATTTCCTCCCTTTTATATACAGTAACTTAAATACAATAGAGCAGTGGTTCTCAACCTGTGGATCGGGACCCCATTTGGGGTCAAACGACCATTTCATGGTGGTCGCCAAACAATGCAGTCCACCATTTTTTTTCCCTTTTCCTTAGCTGTGCTACTCCCTTTTATTCTATTGGCTTTTGAAAGCCAATAGAGTAGACTCTCTTGAATAGAGTCTAATTCTATTGGCTTTCAAAAGCCAATAGGAATTGTCCAGGCTGTCTCTGCCCTGCTGAGCCCGCCAAAAGTTCCATTCTGCAAATGGTGCTGCACCAGTTGAGTAGTCCTCGACTTACGACCGGTTGAGTAGTCCTCGACTTACGACCAGTTGGGGGTCGCGACATTAAAAAGGTTGAGAACCACTGCAATAGAGTCATCTATATATTGACAGATTTTATTGACAGAAACTTGATGCTTCTGAATTGTAGTACTAGAGAATATTCTTGAGAGCCCCTTGGGCTACAAGGAGATCCATTCAGTTGATCCTAAAGGAAATCAACTCTGTTCTTTGGAAGGACAGATCCTGAAGTTGAAGCTCAAATACTTTGGCCACCAAATGATAAGAGAAGACGCCTTGGAAATGACCCCTGATGTTGGGAAAGATGGAAGACAAAAGAAGAAGGGGAGAGCAGAGGATGAGATGGTTAGATAGTGCCATTGACACAATGAACACGAATTTGGGCAAACTTTGGGAAACAGTGGAGAGGGAGCTGGTGTGCTGTGGTCCATGGAGTTGCGAAGAGTCAGACACAACTTAGTAATTGAACAACACGTAAATACAGTAAGGACAGTTGAGTTATATATAGTAGAGTCATCTATTGTACACAATAAAATCCCTACAGTAGAGTCATACTGTATAATAGTTTATATATAATAGACTCATATGCTACATATACTATGTAGGACAGGCTGGCAGAAGATTAGCAGAGCACATCCATGAAGACTAACTAGCAGTCAGAAGACGTGATGAAAACTCTCACAACACATGGACAAATCCACCCATAGTTTCAGCTGAGAAACTGTCGGCATCCTGGACCAAGCTAAATCCAAAAACACTACAGTATCCCTGGAAACCTGGCATTCAGATAGATCAGCCATCAATAGACACCATAATTACACACCATTTAAGAGAAACAATTAAAAGCTAAGGAAGAAACAAAACAATCAGCAGAGAATATTGAAAGAAGCAGGGATTAATCCCAATCAACCAATCAAGCAGAAAACAATACTCTAATCAAGGAACAACCAAGGAGAAAATTGGTAGGGCAGGGCAGAGCAAATTATGGTATATAAATAAGAAGCAAACCTCACACTCACTAGCACTCATTAAGTACAGATAGTCCTTAACTTACGAACACAATTGAGTCCAAAATTTCTGTTGCTAAGTGAAACATTCATTAAGTGAGTTTGTCCCATTTTATGACCTTTCTTGCCACAGTTGTTCATATATATCATTTAAATGTATTGTTTTATCATAGAGAATAAAATACAGAACAGTAAAACGAACAAAATGAAACCAGACAAAAACGTGCATTCAACCCTAACAACAACAACAAAAAAAATAGTGTACAAAAAAAGGAGGAAAAAGTGGTCAATTAAATTTAACATGTAGGATCCACCCTGGCTGAGTGCTGAAAGAAAAGAAAAAGAAAAGAAAAAGCAATAAATTTTCCTCCCCTTTCAGATAGATAGATAGATAGATAGATGGATGGATGGATGGATGGATGGATAGATAGATAGATAGATAGATAGATAGATAGATAGATAGATAGATAGATAGATAGATAATGGTAGATGATGGATGGATGGATGGATGGATGGATGGATAGATGGACGGACGGACGGACAGATAGATAGACAGACAGACAGATAGATACATAGATAGATAGATAATGGTAGATGATGGATGGATGGATGGATGGATGGATGGATGGATAGATATAGATAGATAGATAGATAGATAGATAGATAGATAGATATGATAGATGATAGATAGATAGATAGATAATGATAGAAGATAGATAGATAGATAGATAGATAGATAGATAGATAGATAGATAGATAGATAGATAGATAGATAGAGATAGGTAGGTAGGTAGATAGATAGATAGATAGATAGATAGATAGATAGATAGATAGATGGATAGATAGAGATAGAGATATATAGATATAGATTTTCCTGAAGAAAAAGCAGTCAGCAATACACACACACACACACACACACACACACACTATTGACTGTCTATATATATATAGTCTATATATAGAGATTGTTGACTGCTTTTTCTTCAAAAAGAAAAAGCAGTCAATAGGTTGAACTAAACATTCCACTAATCTTCAAATCCCTCGGTTAACCATCTGTTATTGTATTTAGCATGTAGAAAGTCCACAGAAGGTTTCCAGTCTCCTACATAGCCGTCTAGTCCATTATCTCCAATCAAAATAGTTAATTTTGCCAGTTGTTAAGTGGATCACTGTAGCTGTTAAATTAGTCCAACAGTTATTAAGAGAATCTGGCTTCCCAATGGATTTTGCTTGCTAGAAAATCACAAAAGGGTATAACATTGACCCCGGGACCTGCAGCCATCATAAATATGAGTGTCAGTGTCTGAATATTGATCACATGTTCATGGAGATGCTACAATGGTCATAAGTGTGAAAAATGGTCATACGTTGTCAGGGAATTGTGCGGCAGGTGTTCAAATGGAGTCAGAGACCCTGACACAAACTTGTAGTTTTATATAAATAAATATATTTTATATTTATATTTACACTAAAGAAGATAGTTAGGCCCATCACTACATCATGAGGTAAATCGTCAAGTAAAACACAGAACAGCATACAGAGCATACAGAAGAAAAAGGCGGGAAAAGGGGAAACTCCCCCTTCTCATCCAGCAACCAATCATAACGTAGGAGCCCTCAGTTTCCAACCAATCAACTACAACTATGTGTTCTGGCCCATTATACACTTTACTATTACAACTATTAAACTAAATATCTTCACATAAGTCACTTTTTCCAGTGCCATTGTAACTTCAAATGGTTACTAAACAAACCGTTATAATATTGTGGTTCCTGAATTTTTGTGTTTCACTTGCATTTCCCAAATCTTATTTCTTCTGATTGTTTTCTTGCTAGAATTTCTCTGGTTTTGCATCTAAGTGATTCATGCCATACTGGAATCAACTACTGGAATTTGATCAATGTTTATTTGTTGATCAATTGATTTGTATTGTTCTTTTATGGATGCTCTTTTTTTTCTAAAGAGATTTTTTGGACATTTTAAATTTCATTTGGGTGACCCACGGGTATATGCAGATGAGAAGATTTAAGTAGTATATGATTAGGAAAAATAAAGTCCTTAGCGCAAAGGTTCTTAACATGGGCTCCATGGACCTTGAAGAGGTTCTCCAGAAGAAAGAAGGATCGTGAATTTGGATGGGAAAAGAAAATAACTTTATTTTCAGTGTGTTGCTTGATGGAGTATAAGTTTTTTTTTAATTTTTGTTTTGTTCAAAAGATTAAAATACAAAATCCTAGAGACAAAACAAAACTAAATAAAAACATTTTAAAAAGTGAATTTGTAAGAACAAAGGACAAAAACACATATTATCTCCCCTAGTTGAACACCGACCAATCTATGGCAACAATAATAACTCCCACCTTTGCAAGCAGGCCCAAAATTTATAAGCTTCTACAGCAGTGGTTCTCAACCTGTGGGTTGGGACCCCATTTGGGGTCGAACGACCATTTCACAGGGGTCGCCAAACAACGCAGTCCACCATTTTTTTCCCCTTTTCCTTAGCTGTGCTACTCCCTTTTATTCTATTGGCTTTTGAAAGCCAATAGGAATTGTCCAGGCTATCTCTGCCCTGCTGAGCCCGCCAAAAGTTCCATTCTGCAAACGGTGCTGCACCAGTTGAGTAGTCCTCGACTTACAACCGGCTGAGTAGTCCTTGACTTACGACCGGTTGGGGGTCGCGGCATTAAAAAGGTTGAGAACCACTGTTCTACAGCTATTTGCAACCCAATGGACTTGTCATAAATTACACATCTGAGAGAAAAAAATAGTTAACAGGTTAAACACCCGCGAAGTTAAAGTTCAAAGCGCCCTGTTAACAGATGAGTTATTTTTAAAATATTTTGATAACCATGTTTGAACATCATAGGAGTTGATTGGTTTCATCAGACGTTCAAAGGGGTCCAAGTTACAAGGTTGTTCATGCTACCATCAAGGTTTGTCTAAACCAGCTTCTTTCTTTCTTTCTAGAGAAGCACCTCCAACAGTGAAAATGAGGAAGAACTGGTGAGTTTTCATTTGGATGTTTTTCTCTTCGAAAAAGGGCAACCTCCCCTTCCCAGTTCGCAGTTAACCATTAGCAGAAGATCAATCCTACCGTTTGCTTAGGGCATCTTGTTTTTCCTCTCCAGGGGGAAAACAGAATATTATCAACCTGGTGCTTTTTATTGTGCAATGTTGTCACGGGATGCTTAAGCGACAATGGAGAAAAGGTTTCAGCTCGGCCAAAGCAAGTCAAGGCCTTTATGGCTTGTAAGGAAAGAAGGAAAAAGCACAGGGTAAAAGGAGAAACAGAAAGAAAAGCATTGACATCCGACTCTTTTTAGCGCAATAAGATAAAGTAATAAAAGTACAGCTTTTTTCTTTTGCATGATTTCTATAGCCATTTCTATAACAACAAGCCTATCTAATCAGCAAAACCCAAAATCAAAGTTTCATTTTTTCCCCCACCTCAGGCACAAAGTCCAGGAGTGGTTTCCAAGTAGAAACAAAGTTGGTTGTGTTCTTTTCTTTAATTAAAGCAAACAGTTTAGCCATCTCTGAATGGTTTTTGCAGCCATTCATCCATTTGTGGGAATTAAGATAATCCTTGAACCAGTCTGGACTCCCTGTGACCACCTAGATTAGTTCCTGCTACCGCCTTGGCAATATTTTGGAAGTGGTTTGCCCTGATCTTCTTGTTCTTAGGACTGAGAAAGGGGGACTGATCTAAAATCATCCAATTGGCTTTGTGCCTAAAGCAGGACTAGAACTCACGGTCTCCTGGTTTCTAGTCTGGTGCCTTAATCTGCCCCAAGCTTGCTCTCTCTGCAAATTTAGCTGCTTGAATATTCATCAGTGATATGATTTGGACCTGTTTCTGGTTCCATATCACCTCTTTGCTCATTTAAACTAGACCGTCGGCCAGACAATGTCGGCTGGTGGGCCCTCAGGGAAGGGCCTTTTCTGTGGTAGCTCTGACGTGGTGGAATCAACTTCCACCCGAGATTCGAACTACTCCCACCTTACCGGCCTTCAAGAAAGCTATTAATACGCTCCTGTTCCGGCAGGCCTGGGGTTGATGTCCCCGGGGGGGCCGGGATACGATTGGGACATGCTGTGTGAATGTACTCATTTTTATTGTTATATTTATTGTTTTAATTTTGTACGCCACCCTGAGTCCCTAGGGATTGGGCGGCATATAAATTTTATTAATAAATAAATAAATAAATAAATATAAAAAAAATCAAGATAAGTATTAGAACTTTGATCACGTCAGAAAAATAATTTGGGGTCTAACTTGAACCAGGATTGCACAGAAATAAATCAAAACGAAATCCAGACAGCTGTGAAGAAAGGAGATTTATTGGTGTGAGTCTTAAGGGGTGTGGATGTGTATCATGCTGGCTATGATTAGGTATACATGTTGCCCCAAGAAAGGGTTGATTAAATCAAGTGATGTGGATTGGGTCTCTTTGTTTGAATGGTAAGTGTCATAATTATGTTTACATTGTATTAACTGAGTTTTGTACATTCACTTGTGTATGTTTACAATTTGAAATAAGTGTTTAATTAAGTGTTTAATTAATTCTTATGTTTACTGTAAGTTTAATGGATTTCAGAGGCTGTATAACCAATAACTGTGTTGAAAACTTGGGTTAGTTAACATATGATTTCCTATACAATATTTCTAACACAGTTGTATAAATTTATAAATTCATCCTGCAATCATGTAGACGGTACACTTGACATTGTGACTTGTTCTATCTAAAATCTCCCTCTGATTGGATCTCAATGTTTAATCAAGTCAACAATAAACTTGCCATAAGGATATTTGTGGGACCATATTTGGAATCCCAGTTCTGCTTTTATTGACCCTTCCTGCCATGCATTCATCATTTCAGATTCTTGGTGATGACAAAATAGTCCTCCACAGCTACAAGATCCAGTCCATCATCACGTCCCGCATGGCCAATACGATGGTCCAGACCAAAGTGGAAAACAGAGCCAAGTACTCACAGAATCTGGCCTTTGATGTTCAGATCCCCAAAGGGGCCTTTATCCACAATTTTACTATGTAAGTTGGAGCAAAACTAGTTCATCCATTTAATTTTCTCATAGGCTGCAAAGGTTTATCCTAGGCCAGGGGAAGGCAACCTTGGCTCTTTTATGACTGGTGGACTTCCACTCCCAGAATTCCTGAGCCATCATGGCTCAGCTTGGAAACCTCTCCCTTTCCTCTCAGCATGGCTGGTTCAGGAACTCTGGGAGTTGAAGTCCACGAGTCATAAAAGAGCCAAGGTTACCTACCCCTGTCCTAGGCTAAGCAGATTGGAGGTTTGTACTTTCCAGCTTGCAAGATTGATGTCAGCCTTCCCAGATATTCTGTTCTGTTCTGTTCTGCTCTGCTCCATTCCTTATTCCTATTCTGTTTTATTCCATTCCCTTCTGTTCCCTTCCCTTCCCTATTCTATTGTTCTGTTCTGTTCCCTTCCCTTCCCTATTCTATTGTTCTGTTCTGTTCCCTTCCCTTCCCTTCCATATTCTGTTCTATTCTGTTTTGTTCCATATTCTACTCTGTTCTGTTCTATTCCATTCCCTTCTGTTCCCTTCTTTTCCATATTCTATTGTTCTGTTCTGTTCCCTTCCATATTCTATTCTGTTCTGTTCTGTTCCCTGTTCTGTTCCTTCCCTTCCATATTCTCTTCTGTTCTGTTCTATTCCGTTCCCTTCTGTTCGCTTCCCTTCCCTTCCCTATTCTATTCTATTCTATTCTATTCTATTCTATTCTATTCTATTCTATTCTATTCTATTCTATTCTATTCCATTCCATTCCATTCCATTCCATTCCACTCCACTCCACTCCACTCCACTCCACTCCATTCCATTCCATTCCATTCCATTCCATTCCATTCTATTCTATTCTATTCTATTCTATTCTATTCTATTCTATTCTATTCTATTCCTAACTCCATCCCTTGTTCTGTAAATCCCATCACATGTTCTGTTCTGTGTTCTGTTCTTATAGCGGCCCATCTCACAAGTGACTGATTCTGGGTGCTGTTTTTGCTTCTTTTCTGTTCTACAGGAATGTCAACGGTATCACTTTTACTAGTTCAATTAAGGAAAAATCTGCCGCTCGAAGTCAGTATGCCCGGGCTAAGGCCAAAGGTAAAGCTGCTGCGATCCTAAGGTAGGTAACCCTGGTTGCAGTGATCAGCCTTTCTTCCATTCCCTTCGTCCTGCCATGGAGGACAGAGACGGTCCAGCACCTCTGGACTACTTTCTTTATTTTAAAGCCTGGAAGGATGCAAAAAAAGGGATCACGTGACCTCCCCAGGGACACTGCGACCGTCATAAATATGAACCAGTCGTCAAGCATCCAAATTTTGATGCATGACCATGGGGATGCTGCAATGGTCATAAGTGTGAAAAATGGTCACAAGTCACTTTTTTCAGTAGCGTAACTTTGAGGAGTCACTAAGGCAGTGGTTCTTAACCTTTTTAATGCCGCGACCCCCAACCGGTCATAAGTCGAGGACTACTCAACCGGTCGTAAGTCGAGGACTACTCAACTGGTGCAGCACCGTTTGCAGAATGGGACTTTTGGCGGGCTCAGCAGGGGAGAGACAGCCTGGACAATTCCTATTGGCTTTTGAAAGCCAATAGAATTAGACTCTATTCAAGAGAGTCTATTCTATTGGCTTTCAAAAGCGAATAGAATAAAAGGGAGTAGCACAGCTAAGGAAAAGGGGGGAAAAAATGGCGGACTGCGTTGTTTGGCGACCCCCGTGAAATGGTCGTTCGACCCCAAATGGGGTCCCGACCCACAAGTTGAGAACCATTGCACTAAGGGAATGGTTGTAACTTGAGGACTACCTGTATTTGGAATATTCCCCTTTCTCCCTTTACTCAATTGCACTTTAAGCACTCAATTGCACTTAAATGGGGGTACTTTGACATCTTTATTTCAATACTGACAATAATAATTTGTGTACTTAAATGCAGGAGCAACGCTTATGACATGGAGAACTTCAAAGCCGAACTCAGCGTCCCAGGTGGGACCAAAGTCCAATTTGAAATTCATTACCAGGAGTCCATCCGGAGGAAATTATCCTCCTACGAACACCTTATCCCAGTGCAGCCAGGCAGGCTGGCCAAACACTTGGAGGTAAAGAACAAGAAATGGCTGAAATAATTGAGGTGAAATGTGACTTTTAGCAGCTTAAAAATTCCTCCAACTGTCTGTACCAGACTTTCAGCAGGATTATTGGGCGTACAGGCAGTCCTCGACATACAACAGTTCATTAGTGATTGTTCAAAGTTACAACAGCACTGAAAAAAAGGACTGATGACCGTTTTCCACACCTATGACCATTGCAGCATCCCATGGTCACGTGATCAAAATTCAGATGCTTGGCAACTGGCATGTACTTATGACAGTTGCAGTGTCCCGGGGGTCACGTGATCCCCTTTTGCGACCTTCTGACAAGCAAAGTCAATGGGGGAAGCCAGATTCACTTAACAACCAGGGTGATAACTTAACTAGCTGCAGTGATTCACTTAACAAGTCTGGCCAGAAAAGTCGCAAAAATGGGGCAAAACTCACTTAAAAAATGTCTCACTTAACAACAGAAATTTTGGCTCCATTTTGGGTCGAGGACTACCTGTATAGGTACTCCTTTCTTAACAACCTATTTACTTAGCGACCATTTGAAATCACGATGGATCCCCCAAAAGCTATTTACAACCTGGTTCTGGAGTTCTGATGGGGGCACACACACACACACAAAAAAAAATACACAAACATTCATATGACTGTATTTTGTGGGCTTGGCAGCTGCCTCACTTTTACATCCAATTGCAATATTTTGTAGTCATGGATGTAACTTGCAAGAATTTTTTTTTTCCCAGCACCTGATCTTATCAGCCAGTTTCTGGCAAAAAAAATTGCCCAGAGAAATAAATGGACACACTCAGTGGTGGCATTCAGCCGGTTCGGCAGAACTGGTAGCTTAATTTTGCTGCATTTGGAGAACTGGCTGGTTTCCAGAAGTCCAGTCTAGGCCTCAGAGGCCTGGAGGAAGCCTCCCAAGCCTAGAACAACCCACCGGAAGTACGTGGATGCCACTTCCGGAAGTCCGTTCTAGGCCTCAGAGGCCTCCCAGGCCCAGAACGACCCACTGGAAGTGTGTGGATGCCACTTCCGGAAGTCCGTTCTAGGCCTCAGAGGCCTCCCAGGCCTAGAACGACCCACCGGAAGTGCGTGGATGCCACTTCCAGAAGCCTGCTCTAGGCCTCAGAGGCCCAGGCCTGCATCGATTAAGACAGGGGTGTCAAACTCAATTTCATTGAGGGCCACATCAGCATTGCGGTTGCCCTCGGAGGGGCCAGGTGGGTGTGGCCAGGGTGGGTGCAGCCTACTGGGTGGGCAGGGATGGAGTGGGTGTGGCCTACTAGGTGAGTGTGGCCAGCTCTACATCGTTCACATCAAGGGTGCCTGTGGGGGCCTGGGCAGGAGTGGGACAGATCTGAGGGTCTCTGGCAGAAAGGGGTGGGACCAGGGCAAGCGCCAAGGCATGGTCCATTTCTTCATTCCTCACAAAGGGTGACCCCTCCCCAGCATGCATCCAGGGGACGGATCCAACGCGGCAGAGTCTGGTTCCTCGCTGTTTCCAGACGGCCTTGTGGAGCTAAGACTGAATGCGTTTCAGCATAGATGGACACCACAAAATTGTACATTGGCTCCCGGCCGGCCTGGGGCAGGGCCAAGGCAGTGGGGGCCGTTCCCTCACTGTTTCCAGGATGGCTTCGCGAGCCACATGAAACCACTTTGCGGGCCGCATCCGGCCCCCGGGCCTTGTGTTTGACATGCCTGGAATAAGAGAACTGGTTGTTCAGGTATTTGAATTCCACCACTGGACACACTTAATGACCGTGGCATTCACATAACAACCACCACATTCACATTACGACCGTGGTGTTCACTTAACAATAAGGTGACCAACTTTTTTACAATGAAAAGGAGGACACAAATAAATTGAAGAAAAAAATATCGTAAAAGCTGGCCCGGCCCATGGAAGATCAACCGCCCACCGCGCCCCCACCCACAGCCGCCCCGCCAGCACCGCTGCCCCGTGTAGAGCGGGCGCCGCGGCTCCCAAAGCACCAGTCGTGCTGGCTCCAGGGGGCAGGCTGCCATTGCAGGCTGCATCCTGCCTGCAGCTGCCCCGCCAGCACCATCACCCACCCTGCGCAGCCCTGTGTAGAGAGGGCCCCGTGGGTCCCACAGCCCCTCACACCCCTGCCCGCAGCACCCCCGCCGCCCCTGCCTTTTGCGCCCGCAGCCATTATTGCCCTAGCAGAGCCAAAGATCAAAAGAAACTTACTGCTCCAGTCTCCTCCAGGTATCTTCGGGACTAACTAGGAGATGGCGTAGTTGGGTATCAGGGAGGGGTGCAAAGTTCCTGCCAATTCACCTTCGCTGCAGACAACTTGCACGTGCAAAGTTTGTCGGCCGGGTGTTTTGGCGCGCTCAGCAGCAATTCCTATTGGCTTTCGAAAGCCAATAAGGGGAGTAGCACAGCTCATGCAAAAGTTGGAAAAAAACCATCAAAAAAAGGTGCCGGAACGCCGTTCTGAGCGTTCTATGAGAAAAAAAAAGCCCTGCAGATTAGTCTTCAAATATCGAAAAGGAGGCCATGTAGGAGGACACTTTTCGAGGGAGGACAGAAATCACAAAAGGAGGACTGTCCTCCCTAAAGGAGGACGGTTGGTCACCTTATTAACAACCACCGCAAAAATAAGATTGTAAAATCAGGTTGGTCTCATGAATACCTTGACTTATAACCGTGATGACTTATGATGAAAATTCCAGGCTCCATTAGACTTGTAAGGTGAGGTCTGCCTTCAGGCCTGTTTGACAAAAAGTACCATCCGGCAGAGATGTTGCCCTATTTCTGTACTTCTGATATTTTATTCTCATCTCTCTTCTATCCCCTTGCCCTAGGTTAACATCCACATTGTCGAACCACAGGGAATTAGTTTTGTCCACGTTCCTAATGTGCTTGGTGAGCAGTTTATTGACGCAACTATAGTCAACAAAGGAGAGAAAAAGGTAAGACTAATTACTCTTTGAGGGGGGAAAAAGGATCTTGGGCTATGACTACTTAAGAATCCAAGCTGGGTTGGTATCCAGCGAGGAGTCAAAAAAAAATCACGATGGTGTTTGATTTTCTTTCTCTTTCCCCTTTACTCCGCAGATGCTTCTGGCTGAATTGGAGCAGAGATTCTAGCTTTGATTTTTAAGACTGAAATTGAAATGTCTGTGGAGATTCTCAAATCATCCAGATCATGGTTGTCCCCAAAGCGCTTTTTCAAACGGAAATTGGATTTTGTTTTTTCTTGAAGACACTTCACTTCTCATCCAAGAAGCTTCTTCAGTTCTGACTGAATGGTGGAGGATGGATACACCTCCAAGTGGCCTCGGTGACTGCAAGGAATATAAATCTTCCCATTCTCTGCCATTCAGTCAGAACTGAAGAAGCTTCTTGGATGAGAAGTGAAACGTCTTCAAGAAAGAAACAAAGTCCAATTGCTTTTTGAAAAAGCACCTTTGAGTTGGAAAGTGCCAGAGACTAATATATAGGCTTAGATCTTTGAGAATTCTGCTACAAACTGGCCCATGTTACAATTCCTCCAGAAATGTGTAAATTCGAACATAGCTATTTTTCAGATTTCATGTTATTTTGCAGAAGATTGTATCCAAATAAAGAGGAAAATGCATTTAGGAATAAAGGTCTGGAAGGAAAATGCAACCGAATATGAATATATAAGTGCGATCTGTAAGCAGATCAAGTTATCAGGGGTAGGCATGCAAATTAATTTGGAAACAGGATAAAAATAAGGTATTCTCACATTAACAGTGTATACCAAGGGTAGGCAATCTTGGCTCTTTTATGACGCGTGGACTTCAACTCCCAGAATTCCTGAGCCAGCAACACTGAGGGGAAAGGGAGAGGTTTCCAAGCTGAGCATGCTGGCTCAGGAATTCTGGGAGTTGAAGTCCACTAGTCATAAAAGGTTGCCTACCCCTCCTCTAGGAGGCTCACTGCTTAGGACTTAGGACAGGGGTGGGGAACTATGGCCCCTTCATGACTTGTGGACTTCAACTCCCAGAATTCCTGAGCCAGCATGGCTAAGCATGGAAACCTCTCCCTTTCCCCTCAGCATGGCTGGCTCAGGAATTCTGGGAGTTGAAGTCCACGAGTCATAAAAGAGCCAAGCCTACCCCTGGTGTATACAAACAAATTAATAGTCATACAAACTGGAAATCTTCTGAATATTCTTATCAGATTGTATAAACCACAGGTCGGCAACCTGCGGCTCCGGAGCCGCATGCGGCTCTTTGAGCCTTCCCTGTGGCTCCCAGCCTCCTCTGCCTTTGCAGAGAGAGACAGAGACAGAGAGAGGCAATTGCGCTTCTCTCTCTCTCTCTCTCTCTCTCTCTCTCTCTCTCTCTCTCTCTCTCTCTCTCTGTGTTTTTTTTTTTTGTGTGTGTGTGTGTGTGCGCGTATGTGTAAAAGAGAGTGCACTCACAGTGTTCTCCGAGGAGCTGAAAACCTTACTGGGCGGAGCTCCTCCCTTTGCTGAGTCTCTGCAGGAAGCAGGAAGGGCAGGAGAGAGCTAGCTAGCCCAGCTAGGCTGACTCAGGAATTCTGGGAGTTGAAGTCCATGAGTCATAAAAGAGACGAGGTTGCCTACCCCTGAGCTTGTTGGACAACAGCTTGAAGCTTGCCAGGTGAGCAGCAGATAGGAGAGGGGGGGGAGAAAGAGAGAGAGAGGGAGGCAGAGAGAGAGAGAGAGAGGAAAGAGAGAGAGGGGGAGGGAGAGAGAGAGAGAGAGAGGAAAGAGAGAGAGAGAAAGAAAGAGAGTGGGGGAAGAGGAGTGGCAGACCAAGGGCAGATAGAGAGAGAGGAAGGGGGAGAGAGAGAGACAGAGAGAGAGACCCTTTTGACATCTAAAATGAAGATAACACTGCATATATCCTTTTTTTACCTCTGCGTGTATGTAATTTTATTCTCTTAAAGCATTCTCTTGGTGATCATTGTTTTAATAGTATGGATATTCCCAAGAGTCATATTTTTACTTTTATTTTTAGTGTGTGTGTGTGTATATATATATATATATATATATATATATATATATATATATATATATATATAGGTCTTTGGTTGTTCGGGTTTTCTCCCGCGTAAAATTGGAAGTGTCTTGGCACGTTTCGACGAAGTCCCATTCGTCATCTTCAGGCTGGTGTTTTTAGCTTCTTGCTTTGAGCAGCAATGTGTGGTTTTAGCTGTTTCTTCCTTTTAACTGCCAGTGAGGGTATGAACTGATTGGGTGGGAGCTTGGCTGTGTTCTGATTGGGTGGAGGTGTGTTCTGAATGGTTAGGGGCTTGGCTGTGCTCTGATTGGCTGGGGGAGTGTTCTGTTTGGTTGTGCTCAGGTTAGTCTGAGTTGCAGAGGGGTTTAAGATTTTGGGTTAGGGAGTCGTTTGTCAATAAGGGCAGGTTTCCAAATGGCTGGTAGGCGGGAGGTATCATCTCGCTTGTTCATGCTGTGTGGGCGTTTTTCTATCTCGATGGCTTCTCTGATTATTCTGTTATTAAAATGTTCACTTTTGGCAATGGTTCTGGTATTTTTAAAGTCAATTTCGTGTCCTGTGGCTTTAAGGTGTTGGACCAGGGAAGATGTTGGTTCCTCTTTTTTGACTGAGTTCTTATGTTCTTCAATGCGTGCACTTATTCTTCTGTTGGTTTGTCCGATGTATGTGGTGGGACAAGTGGTGCATGGGATTTCGTATACTCCTTGATTTTCTAATTCAATTTTATCTTTGGGGTTTCTAAGGATGGTGGATATTTTTCTGTTTGTGCAGAATGCTGTTTTGATGTTGTGTTTATGGAGGATCTTACTGATTCTGTCTGTGGTGCCTTTTATGTATGGGAGGAGGGCTTTGCCGTTTTCTTGTTCTTTGTCTTGGATTTTAGTGGGGGTTTCTTTTTGGATTAGGTTTGTAATCTTATTTCTATGGAATCCATTGGATGTTAGTACATTGGTGAGAGTGTGTAGTTCGGGTTTTAGGTGTTGTTCGTCAGCTAAGCGTTTTGTTCTGGAGATGAGTGTCTTGGCTACAGAGTTGATCTGTGCTGGGTGGTGGTGTGAGAGAGCGTGCAGATAGCGGTTTGTGTGTGTTTTCTTCTGGTAGATGGTGTGTCCTAGGGAGCCATTGGATTTCTTGTAGACTAAGACATCCAGGAAGGGAAGTTGGTTGTTAGCTTCTGTTTCCATGGTGAACTGTATTTTGGGGTGTAGGCTGTTGAGGTGTGTGAGGAAGTTGTCCAGTTTTTCTTTCCCATGTGGCCAGATTATGAAGGTGTCGTCTACGTATCTGAGCCAGAGTTTGGGTTTGTGATCCGATTTTTCTAGAGCTTGGGTTTCAAAGTGTTCCATGTAGAGGTTGGCAATGACAGGTGAGAGGGGTGATCCCATGGGTGCTCCTTCTGTTTGTTTGTATTTTTGTCCATTATAGATGAAGTATGTGTTGGATAGGCAGTGGTTGGTCAGATCTAAGATGTGTTTGGGGGGGTTATATTTGTTTTGAATAGCTGTCAAGGCTTCTTTGATAGGCACTTGGGTGAAGAGGGATATGACATCGAAGCTCACTAGTAGGTCGCTGGGCTGTAAGCTTTGTTTCTTTATGATCTCTATAAACTGGAATGAGTTTTTTACGTGTGAGGTGATGGATTCTGCATAGGGCTGTAGTTGTTTGGCGAGAAATTTGGCTAGGTTTTGTAGAGGTGAGCCTATGGAGCTGACTATAGGTCTGAGTGGGGTTCCTTCTTTGTGTATCTTGGGGAGACCATAGAGTTTAGGGCATCTGGATGATTTCTCTCTGGGAATGATTCTTTGCTGGATCTCTTCGCTAATGGGGGAGGCTTTTATCTTGGTTCTGGTGGTTTTTTCCAGGTAGGTGGTGGGATCTGTATTTAGGGGTTTGTATGTGGAGTCTTGGAGTAGGTTGGTTAATTTGGTTTGGTAGTCAGATGTGTTCATAACCACCGTGGCGTTGCCCTTGTCTGCTGGTAGGATTATTATGCTGGTGTCTTCTTTCAGGTTACGTAGTGCTGTCTGTTCCTCTTTGGGTAAGTTGCTTTTGGGTGGCTTGCTGGTGCAGAGGATGTTGGTGATTTTGAGTCTGATTTTGTTAGCGTCATCGGGGTTGATTTTGGTCAGGCTGGTTTCAACTTCACATATAATGGTTTCAGTGGGGATGTGTTTGGGAGCGACTGCAAAGTTGAATCCTTTGGAAAGGACATTGGTTTCGGCTTTGGTGAGGATCCTATCTGAGATGTTATGCACTGTTTGTTTCATGTGTGGCTGTGAGGGAGGAGGGGTTTGTTTCTGGCGTTCTTGTAGTCTTCGGAGTTTGTTGGTGTGTGTATCTGTCTTGAGGGTGGTCTGTGTTTCGGCTCTCCAGACGGCGAGTTGTTTGGATTTGTCCCAAAGTGCGGGGTGGATCTTGTTGCTGAGTTTGAGGTGGGAGTGTGAGGAGATCTTTGTCTAGGAGGAATCTTTTTGTGTGAAGTTCATTTCTGATTAGGGCCAATTCTGTTCTTTTCAGGATCCGTTTGGTGGCTGCAGAGTTGGAGTGGAATTTCAGTTGGAAACATGTGGGGATTAGATTTTGATCTCGGCAGTTGCGTAGGAATGCGAGGTCGCATAAAATGGAAGCTCTTTGGACTTCAAGTTTTTCATAGGTCCTGGTCAGATGGTGGATTTCCTCCCCGTAGAGGTTCGATATTTGTTTTCTGAGGTTTTCGCGGGTATTTGTATATAGGTCTTTGGTTGTTCGGGTTTTCTCCCGCGTAAAATTGGAAGTGTCTTGGCAACGTTTCGACGAAGTCACATTCGTCATCTTCAGGCTGGTGTTTTTAGCTTCTTGCTTTGAGCAGCAATGTGTGGTTTTAGCTGTTTCTTCCTTTTAACTGCCAGTGAGGGTATGAACTGATTGGGTGGGAGCTTGGCTGTGTTCTGATTGGGTGGAGGTGTGTTCTGAATGGTTAGGGGCTTGGCTGTGCTCTGATTGGCTGGGGGAGTGTTCTGTTTGGTTGTGCTCAGGTTAGTCTGAGTTGCAGAGGGGTTTAAGATTTTGGGGTTAGGGAGTCGTTTGTCAATAAGGGCAGGTTTCCAAATGGCTGGTAGGCGGGAGGTATCATCTCGCTTGTTCATGCTGTGTGGGCGTTTTTCTATCTCGATGGCTTCTCTGATTATTCTGTTATTAAAATGTTCACTTTTGGCAATGGTTCTGGTATTTTTAAAGTCAATTTCATGTCCTGTGGCTTTAAGGTGTTGGACCAGGGAAGATGTTGGTTCCTCTTTTTTGACTGAGTTCTTATGTTCTTCAATGCGTGCACTTATTCTTCTGTTGGTTTGTCCGATGTATGTGGTGGGACAAGTGGTGCATGGGATTTCGTATACTCCTTGATTTTCTAATTCAATTTTATCTTTGGGGTTTCTAAGGATGGTGGATATTTTTCTGTTTGTGCAGAATGCTGTTTTGATGTTGTGTTTATGGAGGATCTTACTGATTCTGTCTGTGGTGCCTTTTATGTATGGGAGGAGGGCTTTGCCGTTTTCTTGTTCTTTGTCTTGGATTTTAGTGGGGGTTTCTTTTTGGATTAGGTTTGTAATCTTATTTCTATGGAATCCATTGGATGTTAGTACATTGGTGAGAGTGTGTAGTTCGGGTTTTAGGTGTTGTTCGTCAGCTAAGCGTTTTGTTCTGGAGATGAGTGTCTTGGCTACAGAGTTGATCTGTGCTGGGTGGTGGTGTGAGAGAGCGTGCAGATAGCGGTTTGTGTGTGTTTTCTTCTGGTAGATGGTGTGTCCTAGGGAGCCATTGGATTTCTTGTAGACTAAGACATCCAGGAAGGGAAGTTGGTTGTTAGCTTCTGTTTCCATGGTGAACTGTATTTTGGGGTGTAGGCTGTTGAGGTGTGTGAGGAAGTTGTCCAGTTTTTCTTTCCCATGTGGCCAGATTATGAAGGTGTCGTCTACATATCTGAGCCAGAGTTTGGGTTTGTGATCCGATTTTTCTAGAGCTTGGGTTTCAAAGTGTTCCATGTAGAGGTTGGCAATGACAGGTGAGAGGGGTGATCCCATGGGTGCTCCTTCTGTTTGTTTGTATTTTTGTCCGTTATAGATGAAGTATGTGTTGGATAGGCAGTGGTTGGTCAGATCTAAGATGTGTTTGGGGGGGGTTATATTTGTTTTGAATAGCTGTCAAGGCTTCTTTGATAGGCACTTGGGTGAAGAGGGATATGACATCGAAGCTCACTAGTAGGTCGCTGGGCTGTAAGCTTTGTTTCTTTATGATCTCTATAAACTGGAATGAGTTTTTTACGTGTGAGGTGATGGATTCTGCATAGGGCTGTAGTTGTTTGGCGAGAAATTTGGCTAGGTTTTGTAGAGGTGAGCCTATGGAGCTGACTATAGGTCTGAGTGGGGTTCCTTCTTTGTGTATCTTGGGGAGACCATAGAGTTTAGGGCATCTGGATGATTTCTCTCTTCTCCAGTGAGTCCTTCCTTCTCATTAGGTGGCCAAAGTATTTGAGTTTTAACTTCAGGATCTGGCCTTCTAAAGAGCAGTCGGGGTTGATCTCTTCTAGGACTGACCAGTTTGAACCCCTTGCAGTCCAAGGGACTACTGTCTTACTTAGTGGTAATTCTGGTCTGGTCACAATTGCGGTTGAGGACTATCTGTATATATGATGGCTTTGCATTGCATTGAGCTGGAAGGATAAATGAAAGGCACAGTAAACATCTGCATAAATCAATAATGTTATAGGTAGACATCAGGAACAGGAAGGATGAGATCATTGAAAATAGTTTGCGGAATGCGGATTTAACATTCAAACGTTGCTTGTAGCTAATATAGAACAGGCCCCTAAACTAAGGTGCCTTTAGATCAGTGTTTCTCAACCTTGACCATTTTAAGGCAGGTGGACTTCAACTCCCAGAATTCCACAGCCAGCGTTGCTGGCTGTGGAATTCTGGGAGTTGAAGTCCACCTGCCTTAAAATGGTCAAGGTTGAGAAACACTGCTTTAGATCCATATCTCACTTTATCTGTTTTTTTTTTTTTTTTTTGCACTTTAAGGCACACGTGTCCTTCAAACCAACCGTAGCCCAGCAACAAAAGTGCTCCAATTGTACCACCACAGCTGTGGATGGCAATCTTGTGGTAACCTATGATGTCAAAAGGGATACGAAAGCTGGAGAGCTGGAGGTACTTGGCTAAATGTCTTGAGTGCTTGGAATGGGGGAAGATCAAGCCAGATCTGAACAGCGAATAGGCCAAGAGACTCAAGATCTAGGGGAGAGTGCCCGTAATTCGTGTAACAAGCAAATGATGACATTTTAAGAGCCATTCCCCTGCTACCATTCTGAGAAAAAAAAATTTTTCAAGAAGTCATTCACAGGGAGGGAGGGAGGGAGGGAAGGAAGGAAGGAAGGAAGGAAGGAAGGAAGGAAGGAAGGAAGGAAGGAAGGAAGGAAGAAAAAGAAAAAGAAAGAAGGAAGGAAGAAGGAAGGAAGAAGGAAGGAAAGAAAGAGAGAGAGAGAGAGAAAGAAAGAAAGAAAGAAAGAAAGAAAGAAAGAAAGAAAGAAAGAAAGAAAAAGAAAGAAAGAAAGAAAGAGTTGCAAGAATTGGGTATGTGTAGTTTAAGGAAAAGAAGTACTGAGGCTGACATGACATCAGTGTTCCAATATTTGAGGGGCTGTCACAAAAAAAGAGAGGTTCAACCTATTCTCCAAAGCGCCTGAAGGCAGGACAAGAAGCAATGGATGGAAATTAATCAAGGAGAGAAGCAATCTAGAACTAAGGAGAAACTTCCTGACAGTGAGAACAATTAACCAGTGGAACAACCTGCCTCCAGAAGTTGTGGGTGCTCCATCACTGGAGGTTTTTAAGAAGAGACTGGACAACCATTTGTCTGAAATGGTAGAGCAGTATCTGTCTATGGATGAGTAGATCAAGAGAAAATGCTTGAGCAGGGGGTTGGGCTAGAAGATCTCCAAGGTCCCTTTCAACTGTGTTATTCTGTTATTAGGAGGGAATGAGAGAATAAATGAATGAATGAATGGAGGGAGGGAGGGAGGAAACCTACATACAGACATATGCAAAGGATTCCTCTCCCAGGAAACCTCTAGTTTTAGGGTTCTTTTAGAAATCCATTGGTAAGAAACCCTGTCCTTCTAACCTTGTTTTCCAGGTCTTCAATGGGTATTTTGTCCACTACTTCGCTCCGGATGACTTGGATCCTCTGCCAAAAAATATCCTGTTTGTCATTGATGTCAGCGGCTCTATGTGGGGAATAAAAATGAAACAGGTAAATGCAAAGTCCCAAGAAGAGTTGAAATTCCTGCATGTAAAGTCTAGATTAGGATTGCCCAACTGTGGCCCTTTTTATGACTTGTGGACCCTTCCTTCCTTCCTTCCTTCCTTCCTTCCTTCCTTCCTTCCTTCCTTCCTTCCTTCCTTCCTTCCCTCCTTTCATTCCTCTCTTCCTCCCTCTCTCCCTCCCTCCTTCCTTCCTTCCCTCTTTCCTTCCTTTCTTCCTTCCTCTCTCCCTCCCTCTTTTCCTTCCTTCCCTCTTTCCTTCCTTCCCTCCTTTCATGCCTCCCTCTCTCCCTTCCTCTTTTCCTTCCTTCCTTCCCTCCTTTCATTCCTCTCTTCCTCCCTCTCTCCCTCTCTCCCTCCCTCCTTCCTTCCTTCCTTCCTTCCCTCCTTCCTTCCTTCCTTCCTTCCCTCTTCATTCCTCTCTTCCTCCCCCTCTCTCTCCCTCTCTCCCTCCCTCTTTTCTTTCCTTCCTTCCTTCCTTCCTTCCTTCCTTCCTTCCTTCCCTCCCTCATTTCATTCCTTCTTTCCTTTCTTCCTCCAGAATAACAGGATTGGAAGGGACCTTGGAGGTCATCTAGTGGCGGTCTCTAAACTGGCTCAGGAATTCTGGGAGTTGAAGTCCAGAAGTCATAAAGGAGCCATAGTTCCCCACCTAGAAAATTACTACCATGATCCAAATCTCTCTCTCTCTCTCTCTCTCTCCTCTGAATGGATCGAGAGAAAATGTGTCTTATTTTACAAAATATGCGGGAATAATTGATTTCCTGGGTATGCACTATATCTGGAGTCCTGTGCTGCCCAAATGGGCTGGGTTCACACAGCTGTGAAGATCACACAGCTCAGGTTTAGCATGTTTTGTGAATGGAGTCACTAGTTTAGGCATCTGTGGAAGGGGCCAAATGAAGATACCATTGTGTGATGCCGCCACATAAATGAGGTAACCATATCTGCATCAGATGATGCAAGTATATCATCACATTATAGGTGGGTTATAATTGTGATGTCATAATGGATTTAACCGATACTAAGTCTTTATCTGCCCTAATGAAATATGTTGTGTGAACACAGTAAAAAAAGACCTGGGTGGAAAAAAGGGCAGGGAATGCTCCGGTCTTGCCCAGAGCTGGACAATATCATTGGATATCTCTCCCAACTTATACAGATAGTCCTTGACTTACAACCACAACTGAACCCAATTTTTTTGTTGCTAAGTAAGACAGTTGCTAAGTGAGTTTTGCCCCATTTTACGACCGTTCTTGCTAAATGAATCACTGCAGTTAAGCTAGTAACGTGGTTTTTAAGTGAATATGGCTTCCCCATGGACATTGCTTGTTAGAAGGTCACAAAAGAGGATCAGGTGACCCTGGGACACTGCGACCATCATAAATACAGGCCAGTTATCCACCGTTCAAATTTTGATTGCGTTACTACGGGTATGCATGCTGCAATGGTCGTAAGTGCGAAAAATGATGGTAAGTCACTTTTTCCAGTGCCATTGTAACTTTGAATGGCCACTAAATGAACTGTTGTAAGTCAAAGACTATCTATAGCAGTGGTTCTCAACCTGTAGGTCGGGACCCCATTTGGGGTCGAACGACCATTTCATGGGGTCGCCAAACAACGCAATCCGCCATTTTTCCCCCCTTTTCCTTAGCTGTGCTACTCCCTTTTATCCTATTGACTTTTGAAAGCCAATAGAATAGACTCTCTTGAATAGAGAGTCCCATTCTGCAAACGGTGCTGCACCAGTTGAGTAGTCCTCGACTTAGGACCGGTTGAGTAGTCCTCGACTTACGACCGGTTGGGGGTCACGGCATTAAAAAGGTTGAGAACCACTGATCTATAGTATGAAAGGAGACGGATTGATTAAATATGTTTTGTGAAATGCTCAGTATGGGCTAAATATTGAGGCCATCTTCATCAATCATTCCTCCATTGTGGCTATTTCAGATTTTTTTCCCTCCCATTTTCGCACACATTATAGCTGACATTTTACAACAGGGATCATAAAAATAGCCATGCTTCCAATGAGGCAGACTGCGAGGGGCAAAAGTTTATAAAATTTTAATCTGATTTCATCTGACGTTTCAGACTGTGGAAGCTATGAAGACCATCCTGGGTGACCTCCGATCCGATGACCAGTTTTCTATCCTGGACTTCAACCACAATGTCCGTTGCTGGAGAGATAATTTGGTTCAAGCCTCCAAAATGCAGATAGATGCAGCCACGAATTACGTTGAGGGAATCCACCCCAATGGAGGTGAGCGAGAGATACCCAAGGAAATGTAAGGATTTATAAAAAGGAACCTTCTGTTTGGAAAGTTTACGCAACTTTGGGAACGCAAGTTTTCCCTGAATTAATAAGACTTCAGTCGCTTTTGTATTAACCTCTCCTGGCTTTCCCCAAAGAAGCCTGGAGAATGTGGTCACTGAGAAGATTGAGACTTTGCGGAGAAATTATTGACCCCAATCATATTATTTGCTCAGAACTGGGCATGTAAGTCTGTATTGCCCCAGGATAACTAGGATCATCTATTCTACTGAGCTCTTCTTCTTCTTCTTCTTCTTCTTCTTCTTCTTCTTCTTCTTCTTCTTCTTCTTCTTCTTCTTCTTCTTCTTCTTCTACTCCTTCTACTCCTTCTCCTCCTCCTCTTCTTCTTCTCCTTCTCCTTCTCCTTGTCTTCCTCCTCCTCCTCTTCTTCTTCTTCTTCTTCTTCTTCTTCTTCTTCTTCTTCTTCTTCTTCTCCTTCTCCTCCTCCTCCTCCTCCTCTTCTTCTCCTTCTCCTTCTCCTCCTTGTCTTCCTCCTCCTCCTCCTCCTCCTCTTCTTCTTCTTCTTCTTCTTCTTTTTCTTCTTCTTCTTCTTTCCTCCTCCTCCTCCTCCTCCTCCTCCTCCTCCTCCTCCTCCTCCTCCTCCTCCTCCTCCTCTTCTTCTTCTTCTTCTTCTTCTTCTTCTTCTTCTTCTTCTTCTTCTTCTTCTTCTTCTTCTTCTTCTCCTTCTCCTCCTTGTCTTCTTCTTCTCCTCCTCCTCCTCCTTCTTCCTCTTCCTCTTCTTCTTCCCCTTACTCTTAGCCTCCCCCTCTCCCTCCCCTTCCCCTCCTCCTCCTCCTCCTCCTCTCCTTCCTTCTCTGGCTTCATGCATTAAAAATAAACAATAGAAGTACAATAATACGATTTTAAAAAAAAAATTGTCGCCTTTTTAATTTTTAACAGGAACCAACATCAACGATGCCCTTCTCCGGGCCATCTTTATTTTAAATGAAGCCAACGCTTTGGGGATGCTAGATCCAAGTTCTGTCTCCATGATAATATTGGTTTCAGACGGAGACCCAACTGTCGGTAAGAGCTGGACATTCAGCATTGCTGGCTGGGGAATTCCGGGAGTTGAAGTCCACAAGTCTTCATGTGGCCAAGGTTGGACACCCCTGCTGCTGTAAGAGTTTTTGTCTTTTTTTCTTCTTCCTATCAGGAGAACTAAAGCTGCCCACGATTCAGAAAAACGTGAAGAAGCATATCCAGAATGACATCTCCTTGTTCTGTCTTGGAATCGGCTTTGATGTGGACTATGATTTTCTGAAGAGGTTGGCGACTGAAAACAACGGAGCCGCGCAACGGATCTTTGGGAATCAAGAGACCTCTTCCCAAATGAAGGTGACTTGTCCACCATCCTTGGTGAAGTAAAGCAGTGTTTCCCAAACTTGATAATTTTAAGGCATGAGGACTTCAACTCCCAGAATTCCACAGCCAGCGTTGCTGGCTGTGGAATTCTGGGAGTTGAAGTCCTCATGCCTTAAAATTGTCAAGTTTGGGAAACACTGAAGTAAAGGAAGGGAGGAGGAGCGGTCCTAACCCAGTGGTTCTCAACCTTTTTAATGCCGCGACCCCCCAACCGGTCGTAAGTCGAGGACTATTCAACCGGTCGTAAGTCGAGGACTACTCAACTGGTGCAGCCCCGTTTGCAGAATGGGACTTTTGGCGGGCTCAGCAGGGCAGAGACAGCCTGGACAATTCCTATTGGCTTTTGAAAGCCAATAGAATTAGACTCTATTCAAGAGAGTCTATCCTATTGGCTTTCAAAAGCCAATAAAATAAAAGGGAGTAGCACAGCTAAGGAAAAGGGGGGAAAAATGGCGGACTGCGTTGTTTGGCGACCCCCATGAAATGGTCGTTCGACCCCAAATGGGGTCCCGACCCACAGGTTGAGAACCACTGTCCTAACCTAACAAGTTATTCTGACTTTTGACAGGCTTTCATAAACATAAACTATGCTATTTCTCAGCTCAAAATACCATTTACTGTATCTTAATGCCTCGTTGGCTTTCTCCATTACAGTTCTAGGTCACCAATTTAACACCAGTTCAGAGGGTGGCTACCTTTTATATTTTGACCTAATTCGTTTAGGCTGCGTCAACAAAAATCTGTAAAGTTAATGGTTGAAGGGTGCTGGGACATCTGATAGAGAAGGCCTTTTTATTAACCTCGGACCAAAATTATTTCTGCTTGAAGACATTCTCCCCCTGCGAAGACATTCTCCCCCTGCATCAAGACATATACACTATTTATGGTGTATCCCAGACATGTCAAACACAAGGCCCGGGGGCCAGATGCGGCCCGCGAAGTGGTTTCATGTGGCCCGCAAAGCCATCCTGGAAACAGTGAGGAAACGGCCCCCGCTGCCTTGGCCCTGGCCCAGGCCGGCCAGGAGCCAATGTAGAATTTTGTGGTGGCCATCTTGGCATTTGCCTCAGTGGACCATGGCATTTGCCCTGATCCCACTCCTGCCCAGGCCCCCACAGGCACCCTTGATACGAATGATGTAGAACTGGCCACGCCCACCCAGTAGGCCACACCCACTCCATCCACGCCCACCCAGTAGGCTGCACCCACTCTGGCCACACCCACTAGAATTCACATCTCCTGGTAATTGGCCCAAAGTCACCTTGCCAGCTTACTTGATTAAGATGCAACTAGACCTCGAATATCTCCTAGTGATTGGCCCAAAGACCTTAAATCGATTTCATGCCTAAGGTAGGACTAGAACTCACCATCTCCTGGTAATCGACCCCAAATCGCCCAGCCAACTTTCATGCTTAAGGTGGGATTAGAACCGTCTCTTGGTAATTGGCCCAAAGTCACCTAGCCAGCTTTCATGCTTAAGATGCAACTAGAACTCACCATCTCTTGGTGATTGGTGGCCAAATTCACCCAGTCAGCTTTCATGCCTTAAGGCAGGACTAGAATTCACCATCTTATAATAATAATAAAGTTGGAAGGGACCTTGGAGGTCATCTAGTCCAACCCCCTGCTCAGGCAGGAAACCCTATACCATTTCAGACACATGGCTGTCTAGTCTCTTCTTAAAAACTTCCAGTGTTGGAGCATTTACTGCTTCTGGAGGCAAGCTGTTCCACTGATTAGTTGTTCTCACTGTCAGGAAGTTTCTCCTTAGTTCTAGGTTGCTTCTCTCCTTGATGAGTTTCCATCCATTGCTTCTTGTCCTGCCTTCAGGCGCTTTGGAGAATAGCTTGACTCCCTCTTCTTTGGGGCAGCCCCTGAGATACTGGAAGACTGTGATCATGTCCCCCCTCGTCCTTCTCTTCATCAAACTAGACATACCCAATTCCAGCAACCGTTCCTTATATGTTTTAGCCTCCAGTCCCCTAATCATCTTTGTTGCTCTTCTCTGCCCTCTTTCTAGAGCAGTGGTTCTCAACCTTTCTAATGCCGAGACCCCATAATACAGTTCCCCATGTTGTGGTGACCCCCAACCACTTATACATCACCGGGTGCCAGGGGTGTGGCCAAAGAAAAGGGGGGAAAAATGGTGGACAGCCTTGTTTGGCGACCCCCGTGAAATGGTTGTTCGACCCCAAATGGGGTCCCGACCCATAGGTTGAGAACCACTGTTCTAGAGTCTCAGCATCTTTTTTACATCGTGGTGACCAAAACTGGATGCAGTATTCCAAGTGTGGCCTTACCAAGGCATTGTAAAGTGGTATTAATAATAATTGGCTCAAAGCCACCCAACCAGTTTTCATGCTTAAGGCAGGACTAGAACTGACTGTCTCCTGGTTTCTAGGCAGTACCTAAACCACTCTTCCAAACATGCTCTACTTTTTTCCCCCTCTATTTTTGTTGTGAATTGATTATGATCCTTAGGAAATGGATATATCTGTGTCCTTTACACCTGGGCTCAATGGGGGGGGGGTCATAGAAGTAGTCCTCGACTTACAACAGTTCATTTAGTGACCGTTCAAAGTTAATACAGCACTTAAAAAACAGACTCATGACCATTTTTCACCCTTATGACCGTCACAGCGTCCCCAGGGTCACGTGATCAAAATTCAGACGCTTGGCCACTGACTCATATTTATGACGGTTGCAGTGTCCCGGGGGTCACATGATCCCCTTTTGCGACCTTCTGACAAGCAAAGTCAATGGGGGAAGCCGGATTCACTTAAGAATCTTGTTACTAACTTCACAACTACAGTGATTCACTTAACAACTGTGGCAAGAAAGGTCATAACATGGAGCAAAATTCACTTAACCACTGTCTCACTTAGCAATGGAAGTTTTTGGCTCCATTGTGGTTGTAAGTCAAGGACTGCCTGTATATCACACATCAGGAACAAGCGTCTTTCAGAAGTAAACTTCTAATGTCTATGGGTTTCCCCCCCCCCTGAATTTGCAGAAATTCTACAACCAGGTTTCCACCCCACTTCTCAAAAAACTGGAGTTCAACTATCCCGAAGGAGTCGTGTCCGATGTAACCCAGAGCACCTTCCAGAACTATTTTGGAGGGTCAGAGATTGTGGTATCGGGAAAAGTCGACACTGAAAATGTGCAGCATTTACAGAGTGTGATAACAGCCACAGCAGTAAGTCCACCTTGATAGTACCTGAATATGATGAGTTTGTGAAATTGTAGGGATTTTTCTCAAACTTTTATAGAGAAATCACGAGTCTTCCAGGCTGAAGGAGACTGTATGTCCTTCTCCAAAACCGATATTTTTCCTCTAGCTACAGAGAACCAACTTAAGGGACAGCAAAAATTTATCTTGGCTAGTCATGAAATGTTAAGTAAGGTTAGAACTTGGATGAGAGATTCCAGGAAAACCTGAGAAAGTACAGCACAGGTAATCCTCAACTTACAATCATTTATTTACTGACAGTTCAAAGTTACAATTGTAGCGCCACCCCCGTAGGGACCGCTTAAGTCCGGGCCCTCCCGACCTCCCCTCCAAATGGCCACCAGCCCAAGGAAGTCTATCACGTCGGCACCTTTGCCTAACGGCACGTAACACAGTGGTATTCAGTCACGATCGGCAGCCACGCAGATGGGGCGGTGATGGTCGCTCTCTCTCTCGACAGTGCCTCACGTGGGATGATGGTGGTTGATCTCAGGCAATACGAACTTACAGGGAAGATAGTAGTCCATTCCTGATAACAGCAGCTGGCATAAGGCAATGGTAGTCCGTCTCTAGTCGCAACAACCTGCTCAGAACGATGCCAGTCAGTCTCTGATGACAACAACTTTGCCTAAAACAATGGCGTCAGTCTCTGGTGACAGCAACTTTGCCTAAAACAATGGTGGTCAGTCTCTGGTGACAGCAACTTGCCTAAAACAATGGCGGTCAGTCTCTGGTGACAGCAACTTGCCCAGAACAATGTTAATCAGTCTTTGATGACAACAACTTGCCTAAAACGATGGCAGTCAATCTCTAGCGCTGGCAGAGGCCTCCCTTGTCCATTCTCCTCGTCCCTCTCTGACCTCACTCAATTTGTAATCCATTTTTATCTCCCCCAGCTGATCCTATGAAACAAAAAACCCTTACCTCCCACTAAAAGATGTATGTCAAACTCTTACCTAACTCTCCCTCTGCCTAGCTTACTCCAACGAGGGAAAAGAATTAAAACTCTCCAAACCACCCTCTCTCCCTCTCTTTGTCTGACCTACCCACAACGAAAGAGAAAGAAACAATAAAACTTCACCTCTCTCTCTCTCTCTCTCTCTCTCTCTCTCTCTCTCTCCCTAGCCTGCTTCAAGCAAACAGCTCCGACAAGCTACTCCCACTCTCTTTCTCTCCCTGCCTGGCCTGCTTCCAGCAAACAGCTCCAGCAATTACTCTCTCTCTCTCTCCCTGCCTGACCTGCTTCAAGCAAACAGCTCCAGCAATTACTTTCACTCTCTCACTCTCCCTGCCTGACCTGCTTCAAGCAAACAGCTCCAGCAACTACTCTCACTCTCTCTATCCCTCCCCTTTTCGTCCAGCTTGCCTGTTAACGAAGCAGAAAAAGCAAAGGCGAAAACTCCAGCTTCTTACGCTCTCTTCGATCAGCTGGCTCAGAACGGCAAGCTCCGCCAAGCCTTCTCTCTTCCTCCCTTCTATCGGCTTCCTCCTCCTTTTTCTTCCCTCTTCCGAGCCACGCTCCACCGCCAGACCCCTGGCAGCTGCCGGAGCTCCTCCTCTTCCTGCCAAATCGGCAGGGCTCCTGCAAAGCCTCTCTCAGCTGGCCCCATTCTCACCCCAACTCCGCTTCCCAATGACACTGAAAAAAGTGACTCACGACCATTTTTCACACTTATGACCATTGCAGCATCCCCAAGTCACATGATCCTAATTCAGACGCTTGGCAACTGGCATGTACCTATGACGGTTGCAGTGTCCTGAGGTCACATGATCATCTTTTTCAGCCTTCCGACAAGCAATGTCAATGGGGAAGCCGGATTCACTGAACCACCGTGTTACTAACGTAAAAACTGCAGCGATTCACCGTAGCAAGAAAGATTGTAAAACGGGACGAAACTCACTTCGCAAGTGTCTTGCTTTGCGACAGGAATTTTTTTGGGGGGGGGGGGCTCAATGGTGGTCGTAAGTCGAAAACTCCCTGTAACCCTTTTAGGAGATCGTGAGAAGCCCAAAATATTGAGGTTGGCTCTGCTAGCTTATACACGGGTCGTTTCTCTGTTTTGTTTTTCCACCAGTCCAATGCACAGCTAATCTTGGAGATTCTGGCTGACGTTGAGGGACTGGATGACTTCCTGAACAAGAATAAACATGCCGATCCCAAATTCACGGAAAAGTTGTGGGCCTACCTGACCGTCAACCAACTCATGGCTGAAAGGTAAGAACAGTGGTTCTCAACCTGTGGGTCGGGGTCCAATGACCATTTCACGGGGGTCGCCAAACAACGCAGTCTGCCATTTTTTCCCCCTCCCTTTTCCTTAGCTGTGCTCCTCCCTTTTATTCTCTTGGCTTTTGAAAGCCAATAGAATAGACTCTCTTGAATAGAGTCTAATTCTATTGGCTTTCAAAAGCCAATAGGAATTGTCCAGGCGGTCTCGGCCCTGCTGAGCCCGCCAAAAGTCCCATTCTGCAAACGGTGCTGCACCAGTTGAGTAGTCCTCGACTTATGACCGGTTGAGTAGTCCTCGACTTACGACCGGTTGGGGGTCGCGGCATTAAAAAGGTTGAGAACCACTGGGTAAGAAGGAAAGACTTATAAAGTAACTAAGCTCGGGGAGCACCCAGGACCCCACTGGTCAACAACCCCAAGCGACGAATGCTCTCTTTTATCGGTTCGATCTTCTGCGTTTGGGCTTAGCCTTCACCTTTGTTTGTTGACGTTGCCCAGAAACGTGGCTCCTACCGCCTCCTTGAAAAGAAACATCACCAAGGCCATCTTGCAGATGTCGCTGGACCATCACATCGTGACCCCCTACACAGCTATGCTCATTGAGAACCCAGATGGGGAGGAGATGATGCTGGCTGACTCCCCGCAGGACCGCAAGAGGGCCTGTTGTCCAGGTGATCTTAATAATAATAATAATAATAACAACAACAACAACAACAACAACAACTGAACATCTGGCTGACTGCAATGATCAATAGTAATAATAATAATAATAATAATAATAAAGTTGGAAGGGACCTTGGAGGTCATCTAGTCCAATCTTTTCTGCTCAGGCAGAAAACCCTATACCATTTTTCGGACAAATGGCTGTCCAGTCTCTTCTTAAAAACTTCCAGTGTTGGAGCATTCACCGCTTCTGGAGGCAGGTTGTTCCACTGGTTAATTGTTCTCACTGTCAGGAAATTTCTCCTTAGTTCCAGGTTGTTTCTCTCTTTGGGTAGTTTCCATCCATTGCTTCTTGTCCTGCCTTCAGGTGCTTTGGAGAATAGCTTGACTCCCTCTTCTTTGGGCAGCCCCTGGGATACGGGAAGACTGCTATCATGTCCCCCCTCGTCCTTCTCTTCGTTAAACTAGACATACCCAATTCCAGCAACCGTTCCTTATATGTTTTAACCTCCAGTCCCCTAATCATCTTTGTTGCTCTTCTCTGTACTCTTTCTAGAGTCTCAACATCTTTTTTACATTGTGGTGACCGCCTCTTCCTGTCCAGATGTGACATGGATGGAAGCAGTTGGAGTTCATTACAATTAATGTCTTTTCTCTCCCCTTCCCCCCCTCAAAACAGGTGCTCTAAGCATTGGACAGCCCAAGCCCGTCCCTGCTTTGGCTCAGCCCGGCTCCAAAGACCCACAACCAGCACTTAGGGGTCCCACTGCAGCAACTGTATATCCAGGTAAAGGAAGCCCCATCCATCTTCTCATCTTGTTCGTTGGTGGGGTTCTCTCCACACATTTCATCACCCACTGACTGTATTGACCCAAAATGTTAACCTTGATCAGGCTTAAACCCCCCCCCTCACTAACTTGGGCTTTTTTGGCTTTGCAGGAGGGGTGAACCTAGCCTGCTTTGATTAGCGTGTGGCTCATGAGAACATAATATTGGTTAATCCAGGACCCAAGAGACATGTGGGGTCCTGGGGGCTCTCTGAGCTTGGTTGTTTGCAGACATTTCATGACCCAACTAGGTAACATCATCAGTTCTAGAAGGGAGTAGGGTTTGCAGAGTAGAGGAGGAGGAGCAGGAGGAGGACGGTGGGATCCTAGGTGCTGGCTGAGCTTGGGGTGTTGGCTTGCAGACATTTCATCACCCAACTAGGTAACATCATCAGCATGAGGCAATATGAGCGTTGCTGCCTATTTATATGCAGTCGCTTGCCCTGTCAGTTTTGTCAGTAATGCATCTGTAATCCGGAACCCCGCCAATCCCGATAGGAGTATTTTCTGGGTGGTGAACCTACTAACGCTCCTCCCCTGCTATTTTCCACACAACCACCCTGTGAGGTGGGTTGGCTTGAGAGAGTGTGACTGGCCCAAAGCCAGCTTTCCTGACTAAGGCAACACTAGAACTCACAGTCACCTGGTGACTGGCCCAGAGTCACCCAGCTAGTTTTCATGCCTAAGGCAGGACGAGAACTCGCTGTCTCCTGGCCCAAAGTCACCCAGCTGGCTTTCCTACCTAGAAGTGGGACTAGAACTCACTCTCTCCTGGTGATTGACTCAAAGTCACCTAGCCTGCTTTCATGTCTATGTCTAAGGTGGGACTACTGTAGACTCACTGGAGAAGAGCCTGATGCTGGGGAAGATTGAGGGCAAGAGAAGAAGGGGACGACAGAGAATGAGGTGGCTGGATGGAGTCCCTGAAGCAGGAGGCATGAGCTTCAATGGACTCCAGAAGATGGTAGAGGACAGGAAGGCCTGGAGGAACGTGGTCCATGTCTTGTGGAAACGAAAGGACTCTTACGAATTCCAGAGGGTTTTAGCAGAGAGATTTATTGCGCAGGTTCAGAAGCTATAGCAACAAGCAATTGTGAACCCCGAGGGCGGGTTCAAACTTCAGTTTTATACTTTCCTTTTCTCAGGAACAAAGGAATACACATTGTAATACATCAGGTTCGTTTCTCACGGGTATACAATGGAGAGTTTGCTACATATATTGTATCCAAGTGTAATGCACATTAGGTTAGTCTCATACTACTAACACAGCACTATTCCAGTAATTATGCAGACACATCATTATTCTAGTGATTGTTCATTATTCCACATTACATGGGGTTGCAATGGGTGGGACACGACTTCGCAACTAACAACAACTGTAGACTTCACAGTCTCCTAGCGACTGGCCCAAAGTCCCCCAGTCGGCTTTCATCCATAAAGTGGAACTAGAACTCAAAGTCTCCTGGGGCTTTAACCACTAGACTCCAAGTATTCATTCTAATTCCTTCTTAGACTTACGTTTCCCTACTGCTTATTCACACCACTGACCCATACAAGGGAAACTATGTCTCCAGGCCTCTCTACACTCACAAATAGCCCTCCACACAAACACACACACATTTCAGTGGGCTAATTATTACCATAATTAATGATTTTTATGTACTGCAAGGGTAAGGCGTGCTTACAAGACAAGCGTTAAGCTGCTTCTCACTGTCTGTGCTTTGGTTAGGAAAAGGCAAAGTTAAATGAAGTGAAGCAGGACCCTTATAAGTATGTAAGCCAAGGCCCAGTTACAACACACAATAACAAAGCGGCCTTTTGTTAATCCTCCTCCTTGTGGTTGAAAAGAGAGCCAGTGTGTATGCATGTCTCCTGTTGGATCTCGTATACCAATGGTTCTCAACCTTTTTAATGCCGCAACCCCAACCGGTCGTAAGTCGAGGACTACTCAACCGGTCATAAGTCGAGGACTACTCAACTGGTGCAGCCCTGTTTGTAGAATGGGACTTTTGGCGGGCTCAGCAGGGCAAAGACAGCCTGGATAATTCCTATTGGCTTTTGAAAGAGAGTCTCTTCTATTGGCTTTCAAAAGCCAATAGAATAAAAGGGAGTAGCACAGCTAAGGAAAAGGGGGGGGGGGAATGGCGGATTGCGTTGTTTGGCGACCCCATGAAATGGTCGTTCAACCCCAAATGGGGTCCCGACCCACAGGTTGAGAACCACTGTTGTATACAGGTAGTCCTCAACTTTACGACCACAACTGAGCCCAAAATTTCAAACTTCTGAATAGTCTTCTGTTAATTAGAGGTTGTCCTTGGCTTACAAGCATCCGTTCAGTGACTGTTCAAAGTCACAACGGCAACTGAAAAAAGTGACTTACGATGGCTATTCACACTTGCAGCCTCCCCACGGTCACGCGATCCAAAGTTAGACGCTTGGCCATTGATTCATACTTACGACGGTCGCAAGCGTCCTGGGGATAGGTGACTGCCTTTTGCCACCCTCTGACAAGCAAAGTCAAAATGGGGGAAGCCAGAGTCACTTCACAACAGCGTTCCTAACGTTGTAACTGCAGCGATTCATTTAACCAAACGTGCGAGAAAGGTCGTAAAACGAGGCAAAACTCACTTAAGAACCATCTTGCTTAAAAACGGAGCGTTGGGGGCTCAGATGCGGCCGTACGTCGAGGACCACCTGTATTGGGAATCAAGGTTTGAGCACCACTTCAGCTTTGTGACTGTTTCCCCCCCCCCGCTTTTTATATCGGCCACCCAGCTAGTCCTTTTCTCAACCCCACCCAGAGCCTTCTTTAAATATATAGTATATTTTCTGTAACTGTGAGAGTAGCTTGGAACAATGCCAACAGCAGCCGAGTGGAGAGATTACTTGGCATATTTAAGAAAAAGCCGTCAAGTGGAGCCGGGAACTGGCTACCATATTATAAATAGACATCAGTCACTTTGGCAAGTTTGATAATCCAACTTTCCCCAGAGGAATCTGTAATTCATTATTTTCTCCATGCCTGGCATTTGGCCCATAAATGAGGGAGGGATAAAAGTAAGAAGGAAAAACAGGCTGCTTCTCCCTGTTTGCGAAAAATGGTTGTGAGTCATTTTTTTTCCCAATGCCATTGTAACTTTAAATGGTCACTAAATGAACCGTTGTAAGTCGAGGGCTATCTGTACGCTAGTTTTCTGGAAAGCAAAGAGCAGGGGTAAGGGAAGCACGTTCAGGCTTTCGAGATTCTGTAAACCTTACAATAGAGATTGTGTTAATACTCATGTCTGGTACAAATTGTCTGGGCTACCTTTACGCCATTGACTCAGATCCAAGGTCTTCCAATATAACTTCTAGCCCACATGTTCTATCTATTGTGCATCCAGTTTTGGTCACCACAATGTAAAAAAGATGCTGAGACTCTAGAACAGTGGTTCTCAACCTGTGGGCCGGGACCCCATTTGGGGTTGAACGACCATTTCACAGGGGTCGCCAAACAACGCAGTCCGCCATTTTTTTCCCCCTTTTCCTTAGCTGTGCTACTCCCTTTTATTCTATTGGCTTTTGAAAGCCAATAGAATAGACTCTCTTGAATAGAGTCTAATTCTATTGGCTTTCAAAAGCCAATAGGAATTGTCCAGGCTGTCTCTGCCCTGCTGAGCCCGCCAAAAGTCCCAGTCTGCAAACGGTGCTGCACCAGTTGAGTAGTCCTCGACTTACAAC